AAAATTGAAATTGAGATTCCGAGCTATATGTAGGGTTTTAAAATTGAAATTGAGCAATTTGGATTAAACAATTTTATTTTTCATTTAAGATATGTTTGAGTTTTTTATTTTGTTACTAATAAATAAATATAAAGCACTTTAAAAAAAAATTGTTATTTAGTCCTTATCTTTTAAAAGGCCAATTTTAAGGACAATATAAAGTTAAACTTATAGTAAATCCCGTAGATTTTTTACTAACAAATTAAATTCACAATTATATTATTTCATTCTGTTTGGGACTCTTTTAAATGATTATTTATTCTGAAAATCTTATCTCATTCTGTTTGGAATCTATTTGTTTTCGGATTTAAAATTAACAATTTCTTATAAATACTACAGTGGTGTATTATTCATTCGAATCTACAGATTTATATTAAAAACCAATCGTCGTCAACTATTCTATGTCTGCACTTTCAAAACGAAACAATGGACCAACCATTTGGACCCATTGCCATTGTAGATAGGAGCACAAGGCCTATGTTAATTGTTCGAATTATCAGGATGTACGTGCGAACGTTCGATTGTACATTAGATTTACCATTTTTTAAAAATGGCAACTAAAATTCATTCATATTCTCTCTCTTCATTAAATGTTTACTACTTATAGTAATATTAGTTGGCTTAATTCTCTCCCGCTGTCACCTTTTAATAAGGATGAGTTGTTAACTCTTTTCAATTTTTTTCCCCACGTTCCCCACTATTTAAGGAATATAAAATCAGATTGATAAGGCAATTAAAATCTGTTGTAAAGAATCTGTTGATATTCGGCGCATGTATTAACAATGATTTAATTTCCATATAATCCGTATTTATTAGTTGTAAAGAATCTTCAAAATGATGCGCAAAAAATAGAGTTAAACGTATATTCTGTTGGGACTCTTATATTAATTTTTTATTCTCAAATTCTTATCCCAATTGAAGTTATCATTTTACACGTGTATTTATCGATTTGTTACAACTGATAAGTTTAGATTATCATATTTTTAAGTTATCTCAATTTTTATAACACGTGGTATTTATAGTTATCTACATGACTTAAAACTCTTTTTAAATTATAACTATTTTTTACAATTCATAAGTGAGCAAACTGGATTAATAATTTATTTAAAATAAATATGTAGGGTTTTAAAATTGAAATTGAGATTCCGAGCTATATGTAGGGTTTTAAAATTGAAATTGAGCAATTTGGATTAAACAATTTTATTTTTCATTTAAGATATGTTTGAGTTTTTTATTTTGTTACTAATAAATAAATATAAAGCACTTTAAAAAAAAAAAATTGTTATTTAGTCCTTATCTTTTAAAAGGCCAATTTTAAGGACAATATAAAGTTAAACTTATAGTAAATCCCGTAGATTTTTTACTAACAAATTAAATAACAGATTTACCATTTTTTAAAAATGGCAACTAAAATTCATTCATATTCTCTCTCTTCATTAAATGTTTACTACTTATAGTAATATTAGTTGGCTTAATTCTCTCCCGCTGTCACCTTTTAATAAGGATGAGTTGTTAACTCTTTTCAATTTTTTTCCCCACGTTCTCCACTATTTAAGGAATATAAAATCAGATTGATAAGGCAATTAAAATCTGTTGTAAAGAATCTGTTGATATTCGGCGCATGTATTAACAATGATTTAATTTCCATATAATCCGTATTTATTAGTTGTAAAGAATCTTCAAGATGATGCGCAAAAAATAGAGTTAAACGTATATTCTGTTGGGACTCTTATATTAATTTTTTATTCTCAAATTCTTATCCCAATTGAAGTTATCATTTTACACGTGTATTTATCGATTTGTTACAACTGATAAGTTTAGATTATCATATTTTCAAGTTATCTCAATTTTAATAACACGTGGTATTTATAGTTATCTACATGACTTAAAACTCTTTTTAAATTATAACTATTTTTTACAATTCATAAGTGAGCAAACTGGATTAATAATTTATTTAAAATAAATATGTAGGGTTTTAAAATTGAAATTGAGATTCCGAGCTATATGTAGGGTTTTAAAATTGAAATTGAGCATTTTGGATTAAACAATTTTATTTTTCATTTAAGATATGTTTGAGTTTTTTATTTTGTTACTAATAAATAAATATAAAGCACTTTAAAAAAAAAATTGTTATTTAGTCCTTAGCTTTTAAAAGGCCAATTTTAAGGACAATATAAAGTTAAACTTATAGTAAATCCCGTAGATTTTTTACTAACAAATTTAAATTCACAATTATATTATTTCATTCTGTTTGGGACTCTTTTAAATGATTATTTATTCTGAAAATCTTATCTCATTCTGTTTGGAATCTATTTGTTTTCGGATTTAAAATTAACAATTTCTTATAAATACTACAGTGGTGTATTATTCATTCGAATCTACAGATTTATATTAAAAACCAATCGTCGTCAACTATTCTCTGTCTGCACTTTCAAAACCAAACAATGGACCAACCATTTGGACCCATTGCCATTGTAGATAGGAGCACAAGGCCAATGTTAATTGTTCGAATTATCAGGATGTACGTGCGAACGTTCGATTGTACATTCCGAAATTATCTTGAAGTTGTTCTTCATGATGAAAAGGTTATCTATTTTTTTTTTTATTATACTTTGTTATTTTAGCAAGTTGTTCTTCATGATGAAAAGGTTATCTATTTTTTTTTATTATACTTTGTTATTTTAGCAAGTTGTTCTTCATGATGAAAAGGTTATCTGCTTTTTTTTTTTTTATACTTTGTTATTTTAGCTTTTCCAGTTTCTGATTACATACATGTTTCATTTTTTTTTTAACTATGTACAGGGCGACCGCATTACAGCTTGGGTTAGATCCATGCAGATCCAATGGTTCAAAAGCAAGAAATATGTTGAAGGACAAATTATTGGCATTAGAAACTATCAAGTCGACGGTAACGTTGGTGACTACCGTACTACTTCACATGACTTCAAGCTGATTATTCATCCAGGCACCGAGTTCATTAAGATCAAGGGAGATTTTCCAATTCATAG